TCTCCTATACCTCCTATAACTCCTATATCTCCTTTATCTCCTATATATCCTATATATTCTATAACTCCTATAACTCCTATATCTCCTATAACTCCTATACCTCCTATAACTCCTATACCTCCTATAACTCCTATAACTCCTATATCTCTTATACCTCCTATACCTATCTACCTCTATACCGCACCCTAGGACATAATGCAGTTTCAGGGGATATCGTCCGAAGACGTCTAATCAGATAGAACCGGTACCTGTCTGCTACCGGTCTATTATCGGTCTTGCCTTTCCATTTTCCTGTTGTCATCATCAACACTAATGTCAGGTGTTTTTGATTGAACGATATAGTGCTTTTCAGACAGTTATTCGTTTTAACAATTGACGTATTGTCGGTAGACTGATTTTATAATAGTAGACAGGTCGGTCCAGTTCAATCTGTCCAGACCGGTACCAGTACTGCTCATCGAATAACTAGATCGGTTGCATCTATGATTTCTAGAAACGTATTGTGGGTCACACAGATTTGCTTAGGGCATTACTAATAGGGTAGCAGTTCAGTTGAATGAGTCGTATAACAAGCAGCATCCAATGATACATATTGCTTTCCGCACTATAAAACATTTTTATATTAATGTTCGCTCTCAGACACAACCAGATTCATACGTCAGTTACTAGCTGATAAGTTGAGTGTATAAGAGTGAAAATTTCGAAGCAGTCAAATATTCAGCCGAGGTTCAAGCGAATCAAACAGATGAGCGCTACTTGTTAATAAAATATGATAAGAAGAAAATATATTTATTTTCATATCTTATCGATTATTACGTAGTCGGCGTTTTTTTTCTAATGTGATCATAAACAAAATATTTGTTATAAAATTTCAAAAAAATTCACTTAAAAATCTTTTTTATAAATTCGAATTGATTAATTTTGATGAATAAAATCATCGTTCATTTTTGTGTGTTAAGTTTGAGTTATGAATACAATTTTATTATTTTTATTGAGTTTCATTGGTAAGTTATACTCATATTTTATCAAGTTTGATTTTTCTAAATCTTTAATAATATCTACTAATGAAAAACTGCAATATGAATTGATTATGTTCCATGATTCATCGGTAAACATAAATCTATTTGGATGTGTCAAATAAGTAGAAAAAAATAAAAGTGAAATCTAGTCGTATACTCTCTTATCTGCTGCATAAAAACAATAATAACAAATAAACTTAAGAAAATAATTCGCGAATAAAGTCTTCAAATCTGTTATTTGATTCAGACAATTTCAAATTCCTTAAACCTCCGTCTCTCCTTCCTCTGTCTTAGAAGAATGCAAAATGTAACGAGAAAAATTTCCAAAATCGATTTTTAAGAAATGGGCTTAATAACGGCGTCTAGCTAATTTTTTTCCCTAATTACGACGTATCCACTAAAAGTTTTGTATAGTTCCACACAACAGCAAACTTTGTATTTATTTTATTGAACCAATGAATTCTGATCACTTTCTACATTTGTTTTTGTTTCACTTGTGAGACTAACAAACTGATAGATCTCAATGTGCTGATCATAAATATCGCATTCTTTTTCAAGACTCATCGGATAATAAAAAAAAATATTGGCCATAGAAGATAGACTCAAAAACTAGTTTTTGGCCTAAAAGACCATGAATATCCCTTTAAAATTCCTTGAGAATATGCTCATTCGATGCAGAATTGTTTTCTCTATCAGAATATATAAAAAGCTTTTGACAAATATTATACTTTTGCATCGATAACTAACAAATACCGACCCCAATGAGCATCTATGCTTACTAATATAGGATTTTTTGACTCCTAGAAAGCATAGTTTGTCCTAGTAGGTCATTGAGAATTTTTTATCACTAACATAATTCAATGAGCTCTTTCTAATAGATATGTTTTTGGCTTAACATTGCAGACTAGAAAAATAGCCGAAAAAATCACTATTAGTAACCGTAGAGGCTCAATGGGATTGGTATTTGTTAGTTATCGATGCAAAAGTGTAATTTTAGTCAAAAGCTTTTTAAATATTCTGATAGAGAAAAATATTCTGCATCGAATGAGCATATTCTCAAGGAATTTTAGATGAATATTAATGGTCTTATAGGCAAAAAACTGGTTTTTAGGCCTATCTTTTATCCTCAAAATCTTTCTTATTGTTTGACAAATTTTCAGAAGTAATACAATATTTAGAATCAGGACACTGAGTTCTATCGATTTTAAAATGTGACAGTTGGAATGAAGACAAAAAATATTTTTCGAATTCCTGAGGGGGACTCCAGGCAGAAAAAAAAGACTTTTCATGAAATATAGAATAAAGTTATGGAAAACAATCAAAGTTCATCGAACTATTAAAAAAATAAAATAACTTTGTTTTATGCACACTCATACGCCAATTTTGCTGAGAGTGTTGTTATTAGGGACAAAATTTAGCTGGCTGTTGTAATTAGGGAAAGTGTCCCTAATAACAACAGAAGCAATTGATAATCGTAGACCGATGACTTCTCCTCCATTATATTCTGAAGAAAGACCATTAATGCATCATTTGAAAGAAGAGACTCTGAAGATTATACAAATATAAAAAAATTTTGATTCAACTGTAGAATAGTCGAGAACCGAGTTAGATAAGAAGAAAAAAATTTCTAGTGTTGTTATTAGGGACATTGACTGTATTAGAGTTCAATTCAGGGGGAGCCAGATTTTGGCCCTTATCCGGCGGGGTTCTTTGACAACCGTTGGTGCACATGTAGTGAAAGAAATCTTTAATTATCTTTATTTTTTTATATTATTATTATTATTATTCCCCAAGACTATTATATTGTATGAAACAAAACAACGAGCTTCATTCGACATATTATTCATTGTTTTTATTTTGGCAAGTCAACACAAAAATTTTTTTTTTTTTTTTTTTTTTTTGTTTTTTTTAGGATAATTATATATTCCCTCGACTGTAGAGAGGGTCATATGAAAAAAAATAGTTTGTATGTATGTACGTTGTATGTTTGTGTCAAGGTCAAAAAAACATCAACGATGAATTTTTTCCTCTAAAGGTTGATCAAAATAAATTGGGGTTGGGAAATTCGAATCTGAAGTCTTTTTTTTTGCCGAGCTTTCATTGGTCGGGAACCGACCAATCAGAAATGAGCTTTTTTACTTTATGGATTTTTGACGTTTTGAGGAAACTTTGCTATAGGTTACCGAGGACCGGGAATCCGAATCTGAAGTCGTTTTTTTGGCTGCTCTTTCATTGGTCGGAAACCTACCAATCAGAAATGAGCTTTTTTATTTTAAGGATTTTTGACGTTTTGATGAAACTTTGTTATAGGTTATCGAGGACCGAGAATCCGAATCTGAAGGGTTTCTTTTTGGCCGAGCTTTCATTGGTCGGAAACCGACCAATCAGAAATGAGCTTTTCGTGTACTCAAAAGTGAGTAGACTATAGAATAGTCAGTGTGTCCGTCCGTCCGATTGGCTATTTACATAATAACTTTTGACAGCAGAGTCAAATTGGGATGAAACTTTCTACAAAGCTGAGTCTTGACAATACCTCGGTCAAGTTCAAAGATGAGAAAGTCCGGTCTAGCCGTTCCTGAGTTATTTGAAAAATACCCATTTTCCCTTATAGCTTTCTGTGGANCAGAAGCATTACTTGTATTCATATCAGTACCTATTCAGTTTGCCGGAAATTCACCGGTTCAAGAACAACTTATAAACGGCCGTTTTCCGGCCGGACCGGACCGTTTTCAAAATTTCTTACCAGTTCCAGCTCTGCCATGAACTCGAATTGTTTTAAGATTTTCTTATTCTTATCGAGATCTACACATAGCTATAACATGAAATCGAATGGTATCATATGCTTCCTTGTAACCCTCTCGTTGTCGCTTAGATAAGGAATTTAACTCGTCTAATTATAAATTTTGAAAATACAGTTGTCTCACCTGGGAAAACTTTTTCATTCACCTATCTTTTCTTCAAATTATTCTATCGCATCACATTAATTGTTCACAGAAACATGAGTGAATGAAATAATCGTCTCAATATACAAGATCTAAGCTCAATTCGTTTCTGATTGACAATTTAGATAGGTTTTCCCATTCTAATTGTTTTCGCATTGGAACCATATCGATTTTAGTTAGTTCCATGTACACAAGACCTCTGTTGAATGGCATGGTCAAAATCGGATGCGCTCGGGTATGAGTGAACAATAGACACATCGATACCGACGATTATACCAAGCCCTCTCAAACTATTGCTTTTACTCATATTGATTATCTTAATTAGTTAGAAATTGAAGGCTGAATGAGAGATAAACCGAGTATAGAATAAAGTTTTTCAAGATGGACTGAATCCGAAAAAAACTAAATTGTACTAAATCAATGAGAAATCAGCTGGGGAGGGCCAGAGATGGAACTGATATCGGTTACAGATTGGTCTGCCGACAGACCAGTAGTATACCTTACGGTATGCAATAGTGTCTAGCCACAAATTCAATAACTCGACATCTCCAACTAATAACAGCTGTAGCTCTGGATAGAATAACGGCCTAACACAATGTTCTTGCGCTCAATTGCTTGAACTTCTCATACACACTAAACTAACCATATATACCAGCCATAAGAGCTAGTGTATGTCACAACGTAGTCAGCATACTATCGGACGGATGATCCGAGACAAATAGTTGTTAGTGACTTGTTCAAGGTCATTTCATGACTGATAGTGCTGCAGTTTTCACACAGTACCTTTGGCACAAGTGTCGAACAATGTACCCATCCAAACATGACGGCTCGTGTCTCTCATAGAGAATGCGTAATGGCACTTTGTTGACAGTTGACTATGTCAAATATTACTTTGTACAAATGGAATACTATGATAACTCGTCAGTTCAGTATCGGTATGAATTTTACACCGGCCGGTCCATCGGTACCGATCGTGAAAAATCCAGATCGATTCCATCTCTGGCGGCATATCATATAAAAAACATCAAACAATTTCTTTTCATTTCAATTTTTCAAAAAACCTACCAGCTCCATAAATTGGTGATATCGATGTTAAATTTTCCCAATATTTTTTTTCTAATTTTTCAATATCATTTGAAATTGATGATGGTGTAGTATATCGAGTAGTTGATGATAATTTTTGAAATTGACTTAATTTAATTGATCTTTGTTGAATATTATATACTAAATAAAGACCATCTTTTCCATGTACTTCTTGTTTTATGGGATTATGTACCATTGTTTCATCAATTTCTTTTTGTTTATAGCCCATTTTTCTTGGTATCCATTGTTTAGGTGGTACAATTTTTGCTAAACCAATTTTATGTGCACCTTGTGATTCGATTTTTGATACATATGATGAAAAATTTTCAAATTCATCATATGTCGGATAGAATACTGGTACTTGTAAATTAGAAGTGAAAATCGACATCTGTAATAAAAATCAAAAGCAAAAATACTTTGTTCATTGAATCATTTCTATTTCATTTTTTTCTAACAAATAAAAACAAAAAATAATGGATAACATATGGCAATTACTATTTCTTTTATCTTATATAATACAAACAAACAAAAAAATAAAATAAAACAAGAACAACAATAAAATCGAGATCAAAATCTAGTTTGTTCACAGGCATGATTATATTTTTGTGCATGAACTGATCTCGTATATTGTGTACGACATTGTTTACCATAATAACAATTTTCACGATTACGCATGGCTATTGGTAATATATCGTTTTGTTTCATAGACACACGAAATTGATAAACTAATTCTTTAAATATATTTAAAGCACATTTATAACAAAGAATTCTTTTTGATGGAACTATACAAAAACAAATCAATGATATTTAAAAAAAAAAAAAAAAAAATTAAATAATAACAAACCAGCAACATTTCGATCAATACCAGTACAAGTAAATTGTCTTCGATCAAGACGTTGACAACACTCTACAAGTAATTCACGCATTGTTGCACCATGACTTGTAACATAATTCTAAATGTATATATATATGAAATGAATGATTAAATATTTATTTGTTGTAACAAATGTTATAAAAACGAAAATTGTTACTTTGGAGCAAGAAAATCTTCATTAAAGTCCAAAAAAAGGTTCCATACGAAAACCACAAAAACCTTTTGAAAGATCCATAGAGTGAAAAGATATTGCGCTTTTCGTACGAAACTAAGAAAGGTGTAGAGTTGGTATTCGCCTGAAAAATGTTTTTTAGAATATACCCTGCTAGATAAGGGTTAGAAAATTTTTCTCATCTGGATCTTGTAAAAAAATAGTCCATTGTTTAAATCTGTTGAACTTTTTTCTTTTTTTGTTGAAATATTGCTGAATCATGTTTATTGAAAAATAAAACTCGCAAAAGAATAGAAGAGAAAGTAATAGGGTATGTATACATAAGGTGAATATATTTTCTCCCTCGGAAGAAAAAATCCTACGCTATTATCAATTAGAATGAAAAAGAAAGAACTATAAATAGTGCGAGAAAGAAAGAGCGACTAATATTACATTTGATTGGTATCAATAGTAATATACATTTAATTAATATATAAAATATGGAGGAATAATATTGCGCATTTCTTAATGACGATGAAGATTCAAATTTTGATAAATACGAAAATTCACACTTGTTAAACTTTATCAACAATAATAAAATAAAATAGTTCAATTTATGAAAAAATAAAATTCAAGTGTAGTTCGTTTGGTTTTTGTATTTCAAGAATAATCATAATAAACTACTAACTAAAATGTAATAATAATATTCGATATTAGAAGACCCAATGTCTTTTATATAATGTGAGTTCGATTATGATATTTAATACATAACAAAGAGAATTAAATGAGTTCCATAGTATTTTTTTTTTGTATTGTGAACAAAGAAAACTATTTAAAAGGAAGATTTTAAGTTTGTTACTATCACAGATAATCGTATCGAAAAACTAGCAATAATATTAATCCTTGTATTATATATGTAGAGGATCAAATTGACTAAATCAACAATAGTTTACTTAGACATTTGTTCGTTTCAGATAAAGAAAAGACTATTAGCACAATTCCTGCGGGATTAGAATGTGAAACGTGATGTAGCTGTTCTTGTTAATCACAAGGAAATTGTTTTATGCTATATACCCAGGGTCACATTTCCTTTTACGTAATCCTCCAGAAATGCAATAAGAAAGTAGTTCATATATTATAACGAGAAGCTGTAAATATACAATCTTTGATTATATACCAACAATATCTGTCATCAGTGGCGTACGCAGGGGGGCCCTCGGCCCCCCCCCCCCTTGAGACGAAAAATTCCTGAAGGGGGGTACAGGAAAAAATATTTTTGCGTGATAAAAAATTTTTTGTGCCATGGTGGGCCCCCCTTGAAAAATTTCTGCGTACGCCACTGCCTGTCATAAGCTGTTTTTAACTTGTCTGTCAATCCCATCTGTAACATTTCCATGGTACTACTGTGACTGGAGGTTGAAATTTGTACCTTATATAATTCAAAACTTCTTTTAGATCGTATTTCATATAACCTTAAGTTAATCCTATCATTTCGACATTTTCTATTGTGTAAAATATATCAAGAAGTCTATGTTTGAAAGTATTATTTCTTTGATTTGTAAGATGATTGTTTGGTGTTTGCACTTACTTGAACAATTTGTGATTCAATAGGATTATCATTAACAAAATTACTTAAATGACGAGGAGCAAAATTAAAATCTTGAATTAAAAGAAAAAATTTTCTATTAAATTAAAATTAGAAAACAAAATAGGCATAAATACTTCGCAGTTGATTTAAACAACCAAGACAATCTTGTCGTTGACATTGTTGAAAATAAATATTACAAAAGTATTGATGACATATTTCACCTAAATAATAACAAAATAAGAATTAAAAAAAAATATTTATTTACTTACAACTTTGATGAATATTTCGTTCATCTTGTCTATCAGGCATTGGTTGTATACAACATTGACAAAGAATATGATTTTGATTAGGACAACATTGAAATCCAGTCGAAACAATATTCATATTCGTAGTACGACCTAAAGAATAAATATTATTAAATTAGAACTATAAATCAAAGACAAATAAATATACCGAACTCACGTGCTGGACATTGACGACATATAAGTCGAACATTAGATACAGGAGCAGTCAGTACAACGACACTTTTATTCAAATATGATTAAATAAATATTTTTAGAAATCAAAAACTTACATATCATCATCATTATCAATAGGATCATTATCAATCTTGAAAGAGAAAACATAAATTAATATACTCAAAAAAAAAAAAAAAAAAAAACTATTTTTTTTTTCAAATACTTCATCATTATCTTGATTATTATTAAAACATATTGCATTTCGACCAATCTACACGAAAATTTAATCAATAATAAAATTACTTATTCTCATTCTTTTCTAAAGACAAACTTCAATTTTTGCATTCGTTGTTGTTTTCATTTTACGTTTTGTATTATCAATAGCTTTTAACACCGGTCGTTTATGTGGATATGCTTTGAAAAATGCTTCCAATATGCCATTAATAACTACATTCTTTTTTTTATCAGTTACTTTCACACGACATTTTGGACTAAACCAAAAAGTAACATTCAATAAAAATTATATTCTTAACAATACTTTACATCTACGAAGATATTTAAGAGCTAAGAAGAGAATCTCTTTCGATTTCAATGATCTTTTACCTATACATACTACAAAGTGTTCTAATTGACAAATATTCTATGGATTAAATATTTGTATCATGTATTTTATTATACGAGATAATGTTTTGTTGCTACCAGATTTTGATCTTTATTTGCTTGCTTATAAGATACGATACATTCTTATTTTTTAGGAATCATGAAGTTCATATTCTTAAAAATTTACTCATGATAAAGAAAATATTTTCGCCTTGATTTTTAGCTGTTCACAACAAAAAAAACGTTATAATGATAAGATAATTTTTTTACTTCGAAAACTAATTTCTACGCAATGGTCTTAGTGAAACATTACAGTCATACACTCATCGATTTCATTGTCTTCAACTCAATAGTACGTACATTTTGTTTTAAAACTTAATATTTTAAATTTTTCTTAAAACAATATTTACCATGTACGTTGAATAGCTTCCCATGAACTATAACAATCATTACAAAAAGCATGTAAACAAGGTTCAAGACAAATTGGATTTGACATAATATCTTGACAAAAGACACAGGTAAGTATATCTTCCATATCATTACCGGCTTTCATAACTAATTCATCATTTGTTTTAATTCGTTTCACTTCAACATCTGTACTTATATTCATTATATTTGACAAATCAGCATTTTCTTTTGTTTCTATAGAAGAAAATAAATTATTTGAATTTTGTAATTATTCAAAAAAGAAAATTCAAACCATTTGGTGATATAGACGAAGTCGACGATAGAGTATCTAAATCGATTCAATTAAATAAAAAACATAGTCCTGAATTAAACCAGAGCTGGAACCGGTAAGAAATGTTGAAAACGGTCCGGTCCGGCCGGAAAACGGCCGTTTATAAGTTGTTCTTGAACCGGTGAATTTCCGGCTAACTGAATAGGAACTGATATGAATACAAGTAATGCTTCTGTGTTTTCGATGTAAATTGTTGAAAAAAGTTCGGCTTTGAACTATGATTTTCAACGTATATTTCAGAGAACTATAATTCTTGATGAAATGTGATTAAAGTTTGCTCAATTCTGTAGAAAAAAATATGCATAATGTTTAAAATTTATCAAGCATTCGAACTTTGTAAACAGTTCATCAAGCATATGCTAGCTGTCGGCAAAATCGATTGTGACTTGATAGCGAAAACGTTAACCAAAAGCAAGAATCAGAAATAGTTTTTCTTTCTCGTAAATCTCCTGCTTTAATTAAAATGAGATGTTTTGAGCCTTTTTTCACATTCTCAAGCACAAATATAGACAACTTTTTAGCATTAATTTTCAAAAATATCGTTAAGCAACAAATTTTTCTTAGAAACTCATACCGGTGAAATTCCGGTTTCATCCGGCCCGGTACCGGACCGGTTCCAGCTCTGGTTCATGGCCTACTGATGAAGAGTTATGGTCGAGATCTTCTTGTGACTTAGTAGAAATATATAATCAATCTAGTCCTTAGAGTCTATCGTATTAAAAAGGATTTTGCATAATATTATGATTCCTTCATACAGCTTGACAAACTGAAAAATAAAAACTATATCAATAGATCTTCACGAATAAGTCTACTAATAGAAAAAATTTGTTGTGCAAGAAAAAAAGAATAAGTAGTTTATTTTGAATATAAAAATATATTATATCTGATTTCTTTAGATGTTAGCGGTTCATTTTATGATAAAAGTCAAAAAGTTTGGAATGTAAATAACTTGGGTACTATACTTGATGATCTTGAAAGTGAATATGGAACTAAAATTGAAGGTGTTAATACAGCTTATTTATATTTTGGTATGTGGAAAGCAACATTTGCTTGGCATACTGAAGATATGGATTTATATTCAATAAATTATTTACATTTTGGAGCACCAAAACAATGGTAAAAAAAAAACGAAATATAACTCAACACTTTTTCTTTCTCAAGAATTAAAATACAAAATATAATTTAGAATATTTTTGAAGAGAAAATCTAATTAGGGTGAGATTTGAAAATACATTATTTGAATTTCTATTTTTTTTTATTACTGTTTGCAAGTCTATATCAATCTTATGTTTTCTATTATTAATTTAAACATTCAAAAAATACTTAATGTATTCGAATCGAGAAAAGAAAATTATATATTTGAATATTTTTGTTTCTCTTGTTTAGGTATGTTATTCCACCATCATATGGTAAAATATTTGAACAATTTGCTGCTTCACGTTTTCCATCATTATCACGTCGTTGTCCAGCATTTCTTCGTCATAAAATGACCATTATAGCTCCATATATATTAACAAAACATTCGATACCATTTAGTAAAATTACTCAATATGAAAATGAATTTATTATAACATTTCCATATGCTTATCATGCTGGTTTTAATTGTGGTTTTAATTGTGCTGAATCAACAAATTTTGCATTAGAACGTTGGATTGAATATGGTAAACATTGTGTTCAATGTCTTTGTCGTCATGATATGGTTAAAATTGGTATGGATCTTTTTGTACATAAATATCAACCTGAACTTTATAATGATTGGTGTCGTGGAATTAATTTAACATCACATCCTGAAGACGAACAAATGTTAACAAATAATATAACTATTATAAGAAGTTCGCCAACAAAAAAACGATTACCAATTAATAATAAATCAAAAAGTAAGAAGGATAAACAAGAAAAAAAAGAAATTCTTTTTTTTTGATCATCGCTTCTATTAATTCATTTAATAACTGTAAGAAATTTAAGAATTACATTGTGATTGCGGATACTTTTTTTTGTAGCCAATTAAGGATTAGAATCTGTAAAGTAGGATAGGGAAGGAGAGAGAGAGAGACAAAAATGACCCCATTGCAGAGTCAATACAATAATTATTATGTAAGAAAATCATTAATGAAACATAATTAAATACCTAATTTTTATTAGGTTTATAACCAAAATTAATCAGTGTCAGTTGTATTGGGATGTATTGATAAATATTAAGATCCAAGAGATTGTATCAATATTCTTATTGCTTTTTTTTTTAGTCAAAATGTTTTCATTCGCTTCTGATGTGACTCTTCTAGGATGTGTTTGCTTGTTGTTCAAAGCGAGCCATTGTTGTTTCTCTCGACTCCTGGATGCTTCTTATATTGACCCAAATATTTGAATGTATTTGACAATAAGAATTTAATCGACTATGATATATTCAAGTAAATTCGAAAATGAGAGAGGAAATAAAGCATGATCAATATATATACGAAGAACGAGATCTTAGTAAAATTCGCTCTTATTCACTCTGAGTGCCGTTTTACTCTTGGGTCTTACGCTAGTCGATAGAGCTTGCGATTCTGAATGTAATTGACTCCCGCTCTGAGCCAAAATCTCAAACAGATGCATGTTCGAAAAAATAACGTTAGATGAAGTTATAGTAAATGTCTAATGACTGTAGTCAGTTCAAAATCTGTATCAGAGCTGCATTTTATTTCATTTTGCAAACATTTATTTTGTTGAGATTTTGGCTCAGAGAGGAGTCCAGTAGACTTACGATTTCAAGCTCCGTCAAACTAACATGTCCCAAGTAAAACAGTGCTTAATGTGAGTCTCAGTGTATTCTATCAGTATCTCAAAGAAATAATATTATACAAAGCTAGATTAATTTCTCTTCAATCAAGTTATTTATACTAAATCCTGTTAACAATTTTTTAAATTGTAAACATCAAGTATCATCTTGATTATATTGCGATTGATGTTTTAATGCTTCTTTTAATCAAAATATATTAAAATCAGTTCAATAAATAAAAGATGAAGTTTTGTGAGTTAAGAGACACACAAGAAAATTTTAAATGAAGAATTTTTACAGATTATACTCCGTTATAAAATCTTTTTTCTATAAATTCTATAATATGTTATTAAATATTGTACTCGAAATGACATTTTAATAAAAATCTTTGTTCTCAAATTTGTCGTCGTCGTCAACATTTTCATGAATGCGATCTCAAATCTCATCAAATATTTATCATCTCTTCATTCATTCTGTAGATAGACTTTGAACATAGAATGGCATCTATCATAGACAACTGCCTTTTCGTTTCTAACGAGAAAACCAGTCCAACTGATATTCACCGTTTGAGTGCATATCATGTTTATAAGAACGTCTGACTGAGACTAGCAGAAGTCTAAAAGAGTGTGTTTCTATGAATTCGTAAAGGTCCCGGTTATTATTATCTTAATGAATTTTCGATCCAGTTTTCGGTATTTACTGGAAAATTTTAAAAAAAAAGGCAGTTTCAACGTAAAACTTCGCCCATAAATAGATTGAATGATGCAGAAAATATTCTTAACGTTTCAGTTGAAAAGAATACTTCTTACGAACTCAAACAACAAATATCATTCGGACCGATTCTCTCGTAAGCAATCAAAAGCTTATCATTATGCGACAATACACAGTTTATGTCTTGACAACAAGAGAGAAATTAATATCTAAAAGCACATTGAATAATAATTTCAAAGATGCCCAATCATTTAATTTATTTTTGCTACTAATAACTATATTCATTGCTACAAATTGCTTTCTTTTTTAAGCTTCTACTGATACATCATTAACTTCAAAACCATTTCAATATTATCATCATGAACGAGTATCTGATGAACGATATGCATGTATATTTCGTAACTTAGCTAAATTTGATAAACTAAAACAATTATCAATATATAAATATCCTAATCCACTTATACGAGCTGCACTTTGTCGAGCTCAATTTAAACTAAAAAAAAATAAAAATAAAAATTCTACAAAATTGTTATGTTTAACTGCTAATTTAGCATCGAATTTATCTTCATTATCATATCCAATATTTTTTAATGGTTTGAAACAATCGAATAAATATCGTGAAAATATTCTTAATGGTCTATGGAATTATCAAATAATAAATAAAAAAACTAATGAATTATTTAATCAATGGTTAGCAAATCGAATATCAAATTGTGCGATATGTTATCTTTTTACTGCTAATAATTATGAAAATGAATCATTATTAAAAATAAAACATTTATTAATGCTAGATGATTTAAACAATAAATTTAATGTTTCGAATGATTTACTTAAATGTACTACATGTCATGTTAGTGTACATCGAGAATGTTACGAAATTATATGTTTAGCATTAAATGTAAAAATAAATGATGATTATAAACAATGGTATTGTCAACGATGTACTTTGCAAAGAGAAGTAATGAAAAAAAAATAAATTATATATGAATTATTTTAATCTTTTATTTATTTTCATATGCAAATCTCCAATTATTAGTCATTAGAGTGAGACTAAATTGATTCTCGACCAATGAAATATAAAAAATATTCCGTTTGTTAACGTTTTGAAATAGATATCTGACTATCTCTCGAATTATATATCAAAGTTTTGTTTATAATCTAGCGAAGAAGCTACTTGAACTTATATTCACTGTTCGAGTAGTTACGACAGTTTTACTCAATTTTTTTATTTTACGAGGGAACCTTCCGAGGTGTAACCTCCAGTTTTGATTCATTTATATCTCATTTAAGTGAGCATATTGAGATAGTAAATACCCTAAAAGGATTTGGGTTCCTGCTTCTTCTATCAAGAGTTATGAACATTTTACTGAATTTCCTATCTCTCCCTAGGTATTTACTGTAAAAATAAAATTAAGGAATTTCGACCTGAAATTTTGCCTACAAATAGGCTCAATGGTCCTTAAAATATTCTGAAAGTTTCAGCCAAAAAGAATTTTCCTTTCT